AATAGTCTATTTATTCATTGAAATTTTCTTGCAGTCTGACACAGATTAAGGAAATATGGTGCATCTTTTCCAGATGTATCTGTTTATATCAGTGCGTGTGGAGTGCTTCAGGCACAGTTTCTTTCTGAAATCCCATTGTTCATTAAGATCATTTCTAATGAAAGATCTTTTTCCACAAGTGCTAGTCTTATTTGTTAACAACTTGTTAATAAGGATAATATAGTCAGGCATTACAGGGGATATAAAATCTTGTTAAAAATCTAACTAACAAAAATAAGGACTACAATTGCCTTCTCACATTGGTGATTAAGCTCTGGTCATGCCACTGCATATGAATGAATACAGATATAAAAGACCTCTTCAGAGGTAAACTTTTACGTGTAGACTATGGCTGTCAGTATCTTAGATTTGGTCGAAATTATTTCTGCTATTCAAATTTTTGATAGCTTTTTCTGCAGTGCAGTTGTTTGTACACATGTTATTGTTTCAAGATACAGACCTTGTTGCCAAGCTATATACACTGATGAGTTACAAAGCTGGTGGATTATGATCTAACCCTCCTGCAGAGTAAATGTTACTCCATGAGCGGTACTGCCTTTGGAAAGAGACAAAAGTTTTACTTGGGTGTGTTAGGCAATATGGATTGTTTTTCATACTGGCTTTTAAGTTCTATGTAATAAAGAAGAGATAATTGTGACACTTGGCAAAGGAAGAGTTGGAACAGGTGATTGAATTAATTCAATTTGAACCATGACATTCAGGAAGGTATGTCAGTAACAGCAATTAAATAGGTTTCCTTGGGCATGTTAAATAGTTGAGAAGTTGTTTTCACAGATCAGGAGATATTATCACTGAATCTGTGATTGAATAAGATTGCTTAGTGGTAAATGTAAAGAAATTATTTGAAACACCACAGGAACAAATTTCTGAAGAATGCAAGGAGTGAAGAATCTGCCTTGGAAGAAAGGAAATCATCTTATGTATGGGAACTATTTTTCAGTTCCAGTTTAATTTTATTTTCTGTGTTTTTTTTCATAAGGAAAGTTTTCATTGGCCAAAATGGCCAAAACATCCAAGATTTATGTTTTTTTTAAATTTCATGTACTGTATAATGCAGCATTTTTATGAAAATATCTGTTGATAATCCGTATCCTTGCAATGTATATTATTATAGCATTGTATAAAACTGTTTAGAATACTATTTCAAGTTACAAATTCCATTATTCTTCTATATTTAGAAAAATCATAGTTCTAATTGGACTTCTGCAATGAGTGCTTATCTCTGTGTTTCTCTTTAAAAAGATTTCTGAATTGCAAGCTTTGGGAGGAAATGAATTTTTTATAAAGTTTTGTTTAATATTTCTATTAGTGATCTGGATGAGAGGATAGAGTGTTCCCTCAGTAAGTTTGCAGATAACACCAAGTTGGGTGGGAGCATTGGTCTGCTTTGAGAGTAGGAAGGCTCAGCAGAGGGATCTCGATACGCTGAATCAATGAGCCAACTGAACTGTTATTGCATTCAGTAAGGCTAAGCACTGGGTCATGTGCTTGGATCATAACAACCGCATGCAACACTACAGACTTGGGGAAGAGAGTCTAGTGAGTTGCACAGCAGAGAAGTATGCAAGGGTGCTGGCCGTTAATTGACTAAACATGAGCCAGCAGCATGCCCAGGTGGTCAAGAAAGCCAGCATCATCCTGGCATCAACAAAAATGATGTGGCCAGCCGGATTAGGGAAGGAATTTTCCAGCTGTTCTCCAACTCAGGATCTTCTATGATTCTATCCTTTGTTTAATCCATGAGTTCCTTTAGGACTAGGGTGAATGCTATTGAACCTGTTGATTTGGTACTGTTATTTAGTCACACTTTGCTTCTGAAATGATTTCAAATTCAGATCTGTACATCCTTTATGCTACAATGAATGCTGGAGGAATTTTTCTTGTCTCTTTTACACAAAGCCCTAATGGAAAGTATTATTTTATCTTTCCTTCCTCAGAGTATGCCTTTTATATCTTGATCATAAACCAGCCCTGTGATTTCTTAGGCAGACTTCCTGCTCCTAGTAGATTTGAAGATTTATTATTAATTGTGATTATTTTTGGTAGCTGTTGAATTTCTCCCTTCTGGTACTGCATGATTCTGTTTTTCCCTTTATTTGTTTATGTTCCTGACTTTGTTTGAAGATGATGTCCACCACTCTTTCATCTAATAACCTTTCAGCCTCCTGCTTAGCCATTTTGTTCCCCTTTTTGCTTAGTTAAGCCATTCTAATAAGTACCATTCAGTAGCTCTGTGCTTCTAGTGTAGTAGCCTTAAGAACTCCTCACGCTGCCTATGAAATTTTAATCTTCTAAGCTGTGTCCCTTAATTCTACCTTTCAGCAAGCTTCCTAAGTTTTGTGCACTTTTCTTTTAGAGATCACCACAGCACAGATGTTGAATAGTAAGTGCATAGCAGTTGCCATTACAGAGTAGTTTTTCAACTGTGAAAGTTTTCACTGTATCCTGCATGCTAATAAACAGTAGGGCAAGTATTTAGTCTAGTCTTGTGAGGCTCCATGAAGCAGTAACTGATAGAGACCCGCTTTTTGTTATTGTGCTATGTGCTATGTGAGTATTTGATCTGAAACTAAGCAAAGTCTGTTATCAGTGTTATATTTCATATTCCTATTGCCTGTCTTCATGTTGCAGTCATTGTTATCCTAGTTACTAATGCAAACTCTTAAATCCATGCAAAAAGTTTTACTTCTTGAGGTAGTTGGTTTACTAGTTTTGAGCCCTAAGTTCTCTTTAGCACATAGAATTCACTGTCCTGCTTATCTAGCCTATTTTATCTTCTTGTATACTTTACATCCTGTTATAGTAGTGTTTTTGACTTTTTCCCCCCCTACATCTCCAGAGTGTTTATACCTCCCTTTAGTTCAGATTTGGTATAATTTTGATTTACTTCCTAGCATTCTGTTTTACATTTCCTGTAATATCACTGTAACTATCCTTAATTTCTGGATATAGAATTCTTCTGTTTATATCCATAACAGATGCACTAACTTCTCTCTTTTCTAACTAAACTTTTCTAAGACTACAGTTTCGAACTTTAGTTACAGCATTTCAGTATTTTAAGCACAAGCAGTTTTGGTTCTTTTACAGTTCAGATGAATTTGGTGCCTCGTGTATGGTCTCCCCTTATTTCAAAAATTCTCAAGTTCCTGATGAACTTGAATCTATACTCCTGGACCCATTTCGTTAGGTAGTCATTGATACCTTATCTCCCCAGATCTGCAGGGAGAACTAGGAGAATTTTGGAGGACCTTACTGTAGAATTACATGGCTCTGGCTTCCTTACTGCTTAGTTTTTATCCCTAAAAGGCTTATTTCCATTACAACTCCTTGACATTTCTTCTTTGATATGGTCTTTCTCACTGTAAGGAAATGTGTTTACATTAGTTTTACCTTCCTAAAATGAAACTGAAATTGTGCATCATGTTCCCTTTTTCTCTGAGTTAAAATAAACCTAATTCTGGCAAGGTGGGTGTTAGGAAAAACAAACAAACTTGCGGACTTCAGCTAATTAATTTTTGTCTGACTTTGTGAAAACATAAAATACCTAAACAAGATACGTACACATAAAAGTGATATAATATATTAACTCTGGTATAAAGAATAGCAAAACAAAATCATAGAATCATAGAATTACAAGGTTGGAAATGACCTGCAAGATCATTCCCCTTACCCTTGCTACCACAGGCTACTAAACCATATCTCGCAGCTCCTCATCCAGACGCCTCTTGAACACTGCCAGGGACGGTGACTCCACCAGCTCCCTGGGCAGCCATTCCAGTGCCTGACCACTCTCTGAGAGAAATAGTTCTTCCTTATGTCTAATCTAAATCTCCTCTGGTACAACTTGCAACCATTCCTCCGGTCCTGTTTGTTGGCTGGGAGAAGAGGCCAAACCCCTCTTCATCATAGCCTCCCTTCAGAAAGTTGTAGAGTGCCATGAGGTCTCCCCTGAGCCTCCTCTTCTGCAGACTAAACAATTCCAGCTACTCCTCATAAGACTTGTGCTCCAGGCTCCTCACCAGTTTCATTGCCCTTCTCTGGACACATTCCAGGGTCTTGGTGTCTTTCTTGTAGTGAAGGGCCCAAAACAACACAGTACTTGAGGTATGGCCTCACCAGTGCTGAGTACAGCGGGATGATCACCTCCCTGCTCCGGCTGGCCACGCAATTGTACACATTCAGGAACTGCCATCCCAGTTCTTGAAAGGTGTCATTATATGCACTGTTGTTCAGTGTGTTGCAAAAAAGTTCTTTTAGCTCTGTAATTATTATCAGTGAATGAACTGATATTGTGTTGTCAGTCACAATGATTTGCACATTAACGAAACATCAAATTCAATGTACTATTAAACGTATGATAGACTGCTACAGAAAGATATCAATAAACTTTTATCTTTATGCACTTAAACATGAAATGCAAGAAAATAATGCAGACAATCACAAAAAGTCTTTTAGCATATGCTGCAAAAATAGCATATGACTGAAGATAATAATTAGAAGACATCAGTATTTGTGATGGAAATACGAGAATAAATATCATGTGCAAGCCTGACAGTAGCTAAAGAAGATAAATTAGCTATGAAAACATGCATCTCAAATCTCTTCATAGTTTTCTCATGAAAACATTTGTTGAAATAAAGCAAAAGTAAGTGAAAATTTCTTTTTAGGAAGAATATCACATCAGTGGTAGAAAAATATATTAAAAGTCTGCATGTAGAGTTCATCGAACAGCTATGCTCTCTGTCTTAAGGAATTAAATAAATGCCTATAAATCAGTGTTGAATGATACTTCAGAACAGAACTTGATCATATCATTTCCAGGATACCACTGAAAATTATTTATTTATATATTTAAGTGGAAAGCACTTTAAAGCAACTTCTGTGCCTATTCAGATATTGTGTTTTCACCTAAATTTATTTTTTTCTGCAATTTTTTAAAGCACAGAACTGTTACACTTCATAGACAACCAGTTGGTGGCTTGGGCTTAAGCATAAAGGTATGAAAAGAGTCTTCTTTCCTCTCTTGTTTTTTAGTTTGACTAGTTTGCTTCAGCCTTGATTGTGGTCTCACGACTAATATGCATCTTTTACAGGGCGGTGCTGAGCACAAAGTGCCTGTCGTCATATCAAAAATGTTTAAAGACCAAGCAGGTAAAATATATATTTATGTTATTTACATGTATAGTACTGTTATATACATGATTTCTTTTTAATATCAAATGTTCTATGGACTCAAAATTAAAACATATTTATGACTCATTCCAGCATCAGTGTCTTTAAGCCTTTCTTTAAATGTCCAACTTATCTTTTGTATTGAGTTTAAAATCTGTAATCTGTCCATGTCTTCAGGAACTAAGCTTGAAATTGTCCTGGTAACAGCTCCCCAAAACATACATTTTACTGCAGTGAGACAGTTGTGTAGTAGACAAAGCATTTAACACTATTTGTGAAAACAAAATTATGGCTTAGGAAATGTATCAATACACTTAGGCTTAATAACCCAGAGGATAAAATAAATAAACTGAACATATTTTTTCCCTACACAGTGATTCATTGTCATATGGTATGAATGACTTTCCCTATTTGCAAACAGAAGGTGATTTGTAATGATAATTATGAGCTGAGGGGAGCCCTCATGGCAGCTGCAGCTCCTCTCAGGGAGCAGAGAGCAGCACTGAGCTCTGTTCTCTGGGAAAGGGAGAGGGCCTGAAGGAATGGCATGCAGCTGTGTCCCAGGAGTTGGGTTGGGCCAAGTGCTAGCAAAAGGTTCTACATCACTGGGTGGTTGGAACAGGCTCCCCAGGGCTGTGGTCATAGCACTGAGTTTGCTGGATTTCAAGGAATGTTTCGACAACATAGGGCTTGGATTTTTGTTGGTCCTGGAACCAGGAGTTGGACTCAGTGATCCTGTGGGTCCCACAGATGTTCTGTGATCATGGTCATTACACAATTATATGATTCTAATGCTTTAATTTTGCAGGAAACAATCTGATAATATTATTTAATAGAAAGAAGTATTCTATGCATATGTGCATTATTTCTCCCCATATTTACATATATGCATATTGAAATATAAGTATTTATATATATATAAATATATAAAACTTTATATAAATATGAGAGACATAGGGAAAAATATCCATGTTGGATATAAAGAGAGGAAATTTTAAGTGTGAGAGAAACAATTTTATCTCAAACTGCATTTTGGACTGAAAATCTGTATGTTTATAATGGGAATAAATTAATAATAGATTTTCACTGTATGAGGTACTAATAGTGGTAAAACTGATAAGGTAGCTTCACAGGTGACTTTAAGATTTGAAAGTAGAATTGTACTATGAGGGATTTTACTAATTTAGCTAAACTTATGTGAGTAAAATTCTTCCTACTGAAAAAAAATTTTATTTCCTAAAATATCTGACAACTTGCTACCTTTTGTGAAATTTAATAACCGTTGTATGGCAGCACTGCAAAGTCATGTTTCCAACTATATTTTGGTTACAGTGCTATTTTATAGTTCCAAAAGTGGGAAGTTTAATAGGATAAAGAAGTTGTTTCTTGTTTTATACTTGTACAACTTTTATACTATCTGAAGTATTTAGAAATATTTACGTCCTCCTTAAATTTCCCAAATTCTGTAACATTGGTGGTATTAAATACTTCACTTACAGTTTTAACTTGCTTAGAGACTCAGCTGTGATCGCAGTGTTTATAACAGAATCACAGAATTGTAAAGGTTGGAAGGGACCTCCAGAGATCATCTAGTCCAACCCCATTGCCACAGTAGGCTCCCATGTCCAAATGAATGTCATGGATCACCTATTTGATTTGACTTTCTTTCATTATGACTTTCATTATGACAAGTTCTGTAAGATCAAAACTTGCGCAGAAACTCAATTCAAGAGCTTAGCTTTATATTTCTGAAGGATAAGGTTAAGTAGTCCTTCACTACTGGAGACTAATGTCCCAGTGTATTGATAATCACAATAAAGACTGTCCTGAATTTTCTCTATGTTTTTCCACGGGATTGAGGAAAAGTGGGTTGTGCTGATGCTGCTGACTCATCCCTGAATTTAGGCACTTTACATTCCTCTGTGGATTCTGTCTTCCGTTCTAACAAAAGTTATGTCTTTTTCATACTGACAAAGCTTTTGTTAAAGTTAATTTTAGAGGGACAGAAGTAAATGCATACATGTTTATTAATTCTAAATTAAAATGATATGATTAATCTCAGAGTCATTTTAATCTCATTAAAAAATCACTTAAAGGTAGGATTTTTTTCCCTCTTGCTCATGTGTCCAGTTGTCCTGCTGACTCAGAATATTAGCTACATTACTAACAATCCCCCAGCTTTTTTTTTTTTTTTTTTTTTTTGAGAAGATAATATTGATGTTGAAGCTTCTTAGTAAGATTTTCCAAAACTGAATCATTCTTTCTCTAATTGTTTTCTCAGATGAAATTTAACAAAATTGATTTTCCTTGTTGAATCTAAGATAGAGTCAATTATTAGATAATAATGTTGGTGTTTTGTTAATAGCTTCTAGATATACATTATTTCAATAAGTGTGTTATAATCAGTATTAACAGTTTATTTATGGTAAAGTGTGCATGAATTTTACAGTCAAAAAAGTATAGAGTATTCTCAGAGAAGCATAAGTGAATATCCTGAACTTGGAAAGGAAACGGATTGTTCAGGCTTACTTGATATATAGTGAACCTGTAAGAAAATTTGTCAGATATGTGAAATATACTTTAAAGAATTCTTATATAACATATAGGAGTAAATTTTACAAGCTTTCCTATGTTTAAAATTTCTGTCTGGTATTTGTTATTCCAATCCATAATTACTAAGTAATTCTTTATGAACTTGCCAAAGGGTAGAGGCTGTAAATATTAACAGACTGAAATATAATTTATTCATAAGTGCAAGTGACTTTAGTTGCATACAGTACAGGATATTTTAACTGTTAAAGCAATATATTATTGTGGTCAAGCAGTTTAACTTCTGTTTCATGTTACAGAGTTATCAAGTTAGCAGTCACTTTCGGTTACCTTGATACAAATTTCCATCTTTGTGAGTGCTGCTGTAATTATCTGTCTGCTGCCTGTGAGCTCTGCCTGCATCTCATAAAGCATGTGAAGTGAGACAAGCATCAATGAAGAAACAGAACAGTGGGTGCAGCTCATTGAGGCGTGATTAAAATAGATAAATAAAATTGAATAAAGCCTGGCAGAATAAGGATAGTTTGCATTTTGCCAGTTTCACAAAGGATCTTCTCTTTAGGGCCAAATTGGTTCTCAAACTACTTTGAAAGCATTTTCCCACCTTCTGTGATAAAAGGTGACAATGTGTAATGTGTTTAGTCCATTTCTGAGGGGAGTTTACATATACCCTGACAGGATTAGAACAAACTCAGGACATTCAGCCACTGAAACATTCTTGGCTTGAAACCCTGCACTCTCCAAACACAGTCTGTATCCAGCTATTACATCCTGGCTGCCTGCACTCAGGACCATCTGCTTGGAGGACACAGTGTCAGTTTGATGAGGGCTTATAGCAGTTTCGCTTACACATACATGCCAAGCAAAGATGGTTTGATATGCAAGCATATGTGATGTTGCTCACGTGAGTATTTTTTCTGTGCTTACTCCAGTTGTCCACAAAGCTGTTACAGCTAGAGTAACCAATAAATCATCCACTGAGCATGGCTTGAGATTACAAACAAGCTGCACAGCATATAGTAGTGACACTCATAGATTATTCTTTATTGCTGCAGATCTACTTAGCCTGGATTCAGTAGCCTTATAGATTGAATTTAATAAGATCAAGATTAAGAAAGATTTAAGCCCAGGTGAAGGGCTTTGTAAGGAAGCCAGAATGTATCAAAAACGTGCTATGCCTTATGCTCATGAAAGTGAATGCTAAATACAAGGCCATAAGGAAGAACATACTTGAGGTGCAATTATATAAACAGGCATCATCATATATTTAGTGGGATGCATATAGATATTTAAGTTATTGAGCTGAACAGCTTATACGATTGGTGTTTGTTGATTTGAGGCATGAGTGACCTAAGTCCTTAGACCAAAGTCTAAGGAGTGCTTTGGTTAAAAGGATGCAGTGGTTAACTTTTATGTGTTTATTTAACTGAGCAGGTATGTCATTAAAATCTGATTTGGGAAATATTTTTAGAACAGTAACATTTTCTTTTCAGTTACCAGAAATTCATTCCCTTTACCAGACAAGAAAAATAGAATGAAATATTTTTTTAAATTTATTTTGTTGTAGAATATGTGCTGTTTTTCTTTTAATAGATTTAGAAATTGATCAGTCCAAGAAATTTTTATAGAGAAAGCCAAAGCACTCTCATTTTAGGTTAATTTGAATCTTGTTTTCATTCCTTTGGCTTGGCTAAACTGTAGCTTGGAATTTTAGTTCAGTTCTTCATTTTTTTATGATGAGTATTCTCTTTGGAAGGCGCATTTCACAGTTTCTCAACCGAAAAGGTTGATAACATCTGAAAACTTTGTAATTTCAGTGAAACTCCAGTATTATAGTTATTATTTATGTATTCTAAACTTGAAACTAGGAACTAGGAAAAGGTATGAAAAAAAGTGTTATTTCTTCAATTATCATCTGCTCCATTTAGCAGCTGAGTGAAAAAAAATAATAAAAAAAAAGACCTTAGAATTTCATTTACACTTACAGTTTGTATTCTCTCTTCTGTTTCCCTTCTTCTGATGAATTGCAGAAGTATAATGAAATAAATTTAGCATTACTTTTTGATTTTATTACCACTACAGTCCATATTGAAAATAAATGTAGGTGATAGGTTTTTCCTCATGGTGAAATTAGAGAACTATGTCATGAATGTTCACTCAGATAAATTGTTCTTCTAAGATGGATGGTATTTTATACCCTTGATTTGGAGTTTTCTTTTGTCGTGGTGTTTTAGTATAGAAACTGGAGAAGCAAGCAGCTAGCCAGAAACCATCTTCTAATCTGTAACAAAGATTCCTACTGCACCGAAACCTATTAATTAAAGTCAGAGTAAAACTCATTCAGATTATTTGGGCTGAAGCATAGTCAAGAATAATGTAGAATATTTGATGGAAAGAGCAAATGTAACAGACTGTTTGGAGATAATGTC